GCCAAAGGTCATCCAACTGGCTTTCATGCCTGAGGTAGAACTAGAATTCACCAATTGCTGGTTTCTAACCTGGTGCCATGTTCACAGTCATTTTTCCCTCATGCCATCACTCTTCTACACACATAATTCCCCAGCACTGTTTTTGCCTAATAATTTGTAATCATGTCGTAGGACTGTCTCCTTAATAAGAATGAATGAACCTTTATTATCAAAGTATAACATGTATACTGTATTATTATTATTCTAAAAGAGCCGAGGTGGCGCAGCAGTTAGAGTGCAGTACTGCAGGCCACTTTAGCTGACTGTGTTCAGTAGGTCAGCGGTTGAAATCTCACCGGCTCAAGGTTGACTCAGCCTTCCATCCTTCCGGGGTAGGTAAAATGAGGACCCAGATTGTTGGGGGCAATGTAAATATATATATACATTGCTTACTGGTGTACACCGCTTAGAGAGTGCTTGCACTTAAAGCGGTATATAAGTCTCATAAATAACACTAAAAAATATAATAATAATAATAATAAAATAATTATATTATATTAATTATATGATTTTATATTATTATATCAATCATCGCACAGTCAGCCAGATGTTCAGACTGGATTTGGCATTTTGTCTACCTATCGAGTCCTTACCCAGGACCTGGGATAGGCAGATGTGGATGTTTGATGGTATTACAGGTATCGTCGCAGGATAGAAGCAGTTCCTAATAAGGCCGCTTTTTGCAATTGACTAATAGCAAATTTGTCAATGCCAATGGTGTTCGTGGGGCATCTTGATTCCTTCAGTTTTCACTATTTTTCCTTGTTTGATAGTAAGTGTGGCACATTTGTCCAAGCCAAACTCCATTACAATATCTTGGCTATATATACGGACAGTGTGGAGCAGCGATTCTATTTCAGATGATGTTTTTCCATACAGCTTCAGATCATCCATGTAAAGGAGGTGGGATAGTCTAGCAGATGTTTTTGATGTTTGATAGCCATGTCCTGAGTTATTCAGTATTGTTGACAGAGGAAACAGTGCAATAACAAATAGTAATGGTGATAATGAATCTCCTTGAAATATTCCTCTCTTGATATTAACCTCTCCCAGCTTCTCACCATTGATCTGCAACTGTGTCTTCCATTGTGCCATCGATCTTTGCACAAATTTTCTGATGTTTCTACTTACTCCTGTTATTTCTAGGCACTGGATTATCCAATCATGTGGCAGAGAGTCAAATGCCTTTTTGTAGTCAATCCATGCCACATTCAGGTTGGTCTTCCTTCTCTTGCAGTTTTCCAAGATCATTTTGTCTATTAGGAGTTGATCTTTTGTTCCTCTGCTATTGGGGCGGTTTCCTTTCTGCTCAGGTGGAAAGAGATTGTTTTCAACTAGATGTTGTTGTACTGCATCAGCTACCACACCAGTTAGTAATTTGAAAGTTGTTGGTAAGCAGGTAATTGGCCTGTAGTTGCCTGGTGTTGCCCCTTTTGCTGGATTTTTCATTATTAGGTAGGTTTTCCCAGTTGTTAGCCACTTTTCAATTTCTCCTCCTTGTAGTATATTGTTGAACTGCTTGGCAATGAGTGGGTGTATAACAGTTAGATGTTTCAACCAAAACCCATGCAGTTCATCTTCACCTGGTGCTGACCAATTTTTGATTTTCCTTGCTCTTTTTTCTACCATTTTGTTGTTATTACTAGTTCTTTCATTTCAACTTCTGTTTTATTTGCATCCACCTCTTTTAACCAAGCTGCATCCTTGTTGTATTTCTTTGGGTTATCCCATATCTGCTTCCAGAACTGCACTGTTTCTTCCTTGTCAGGTACTGACTGATTCATTGCAGTTTCTCCATTGATGGATTGGTAGAAACGTTTCTGATTGGATTGAAATTGGAGGTTCTGCCTATAGTTTGCAATTCGAGCTTCATATCTACTGATTTTCCTGGCTATAGCTGTTATTTGTTGCTTTATTATTTCCAGTGCTTCCTTGATCTTCCTTGTTTCTAAGTGGTATTTCTTGATTAGGTATTCTTTGGTCTTCTTGTTCTTCAGCTTCTTTTCTTTCATCTGTTCTAGCTTGCTTGCATGTGATCTTAACTTGCTGATCTTATTTTCTAGTCTAACCTTCCATTTTTGTGGTGCACTGTTTGTTTGTGTTTCTTTTTTGTTGATTTTACATCCCAGGTATTCTGTTATAACTGCAGCTGTGCTGTACATTAGTTGGTTTGTTTCTTGCAGTGAATTGGTGCTTATACTTGCTATTGCAGTATTTGCATCTTTTAATGCTTGTGCTAGCTGTTTCTTTGGAACAAGCTTCAATGCAGGCAGCCTTATTCTGTTGTTTTTGTGCTGTTCTAGATGCTCAATTATTCTTTGTTTCAATTCTTTTATTTCTTTAGTTAGAGGGTTTTGTTCTTCCTGAGGAAGAGGTGCCTGGTTTCCAAATGAGAACAGTTGTATATCTCTACTGGATTCTTTCACTGCCAACTCCCCCTGGTTTGCCTCTACATTCTGAATTACTTCTTGTAAGGCTTTGATTTCTTTGCCCTGGGTAAACCTTTGCAGTTCGTCTAATTCTGTTTCTGTAAATACTTATTATTATTATTATTATTATTATTATTATTATTATTATTATTATTAATCATCACACAGTCAGCCAGATGTTCAGACTGGATTTGGCATTTTTGTCTACCTATCGAGTCCTTACCAAGGACCTGGGATAGGCAGATGTGGACGTTTGATGGTATTACAGATATCGTCGCAGGATGGAAGCTGTTCCCAGTAAAGCCACCTTTTGCAATTGACTAATGGTGAATTTGTCAATGCCAATGGTGTTCAAGTGGTGCTCCAGTTGTTTTGGGATTGCACCCAACGCACCTATTACTATTGGTACTACCCTTGCTTGCCTTTGCCACAGTCATTCTATTGACCACTTGGTAAGCTGTTGCAAGAAGATTGCACAAACTGATTACAAGCAGCGGCATGACAAAGTAGCAACAATGGTGCATTGGAAGATCTGCAAAAAATATCATTTGCCTGTAAGCAAAAACTGGTGGGATCATAAAATAGAGAAAGTCATAGAAAATGATAAAATTAAACTGCTCTGGGACTTCAGAATTCAAACAGACAAGCACCTGCAACATAACACCCCAGACTTAACAATTGTCGATAAGAAAGACAAAAAAGTCTGGATAGTGGACGTGGCAGTGCCTGGAGATAGCAGAATAGAAGAGAAAGAACTGGAGAAGATAACAAAATACAAAGACCTACAAATAGAAATAGAAAGACTGTGGCAAAAGCAAGCAAGGGTAGTACCAATAGTCATAGGCTCCTTGGGTGCAATCCCAAAACAACTGGAGCACCACTTGAACACCATTGGCATTGACAAATTCGCTATTAGTCAATTGCAAAAGGCAGCCTTATTAGGAACTGCTTCCATCCTGCGACGATATCTGTAATACCATCAAACATCCACATCTGCCTATCCCAGGTCCTGGGTAAGGACTCGATAGGTAGACAAAATGCCAAATCCAGTCTGAACATCTGGCTGACTGTGCGATGATCGATAATAATAATAATAAAGTTGGGAGGGACCTTGGAGGTCATCTAGTCCAACCCCCTGCTCAGGCAGGAAACTCTATACCAGTGATGGTAAACCTTTTAGAGACCGAGTGCCCAAACTGCAACCCAAAACCCACTTATGTATCGTCGGGTGACAGGTGGGCGTGGCCCATTGGGTGGGCGTGGCTGCAGTGGTAACGGCAGACTGGGGGGGGGGGGCTAAAAAGTTCAATCAATCAATTCCAACTTTGTGAGATCTTTTTTTTTCCCACGAGAAGTTGACATTGATGGATTGATTGAACTTTTTTTTTTTTTTTTTTTTTTTTTTGTGCACACAGTGGCGGAGGCCTAAAGCGAAAAGGTTTTATAAAACCCAGCTGAAGGACTGGGGCAACAGCACGCCTGCCCACAGAGAGGGCTCTGAGTGCCGCCTCCGGCACTCGTGCCATAGGTTCGCCACCATGGCCCTATACCATTTCAGACAATCTCTTCTTAAAAACTTCCAGTGTTGGAGCATTCACCGCTTATGGAGGCAAGTTGTTCCACTGGTTAATTGTTCTGACAGTCAGGAAGTTATTTGGAACATTGTGAATGCTCCAACACTGGAATTTTTTAAGAAGAAACTGAACTGCCATTTGTCTGAAATGGTATAGGGTTTCCTGCCTGAGCAGGGGGTTGGACTAGAAGACCTCCAAGGTCCCTTCCAACTCTATATTATTATTATTATTATTATTATTATTATTATTATTAATCATCACACAGTCAGCCAGATGTTCAGACTGGATTTGGCATTTTTGTCTACCTATCGAGTCCTTACCAAGGACCTGGGATAGGCAGATGTGGACGTTTGATGGTATTACAGATATCGTCGCAGGATGGAAGCTGTTCCCAGTAAAGCCACCTTTTGCAATTGACTAATGGTGAATTTGTCAATGCCAATGGTGTTCAAGTGGTGCTCCAGTTGTTTTGGGATTGCACCCAACGCACCTATTACTATTGGTACTACCCTTGCTTGCCTTTGCCACAGTCATTCTATTTCTATTTCTATGTCTTTGTATTTTGTTATCTTCTCCAGTTCTTTCTCGTCTATTCTGCTGTCTCCAGGCACTTCCATGTCCACTATCCAGACTTTTTTGTCTTTCTTATCGACAGTTGTTAAGTCCGGGGTGTTATGTTACAGGTGCTTGTCTGTTTGAATTCTGAAGTCCCAGAACAGCTTAATTCTATCATTTTCTATGACTTTCTCTATTTTATGATCCCACCAGTTCTTGCTTACAGGCAAATGATATTTCTTGCAGATCTTCCAATGCACCATTGTTGCTACTTTGTCATTATTATTACTATTATTATTATTATTGATGTTCTGCTTCAGATACCACGGAGGCCCCCCCCCACAAGGTACAAGGAAAACAGGTCGTGAAAAGAATGTGTAGCGTCCCAGACAATCCTGGGAAATGATATTCATACTTACGCTTTCTCTTATCTGAGAGTCCAAAAGATAGTTGTATGGACAGAACACAATCTCGGCATACGCCATTAGCTCACGAGCTGCAAAGTAGGCGCAGGATCGGAGTTTCTTTCCCAAGCTCACCAATTCTTCCAAATCCCAAGTCTGATGTTTTCTATCTGCCGACGGTATCGAGAGACACTCGGTCAGCCTATGGGCTCCATGATAAAAAGAACAAGAGACACCCTGGAAGCAGACAATTGAGATTTTTTTTTTTTTTAAAAAAAGCCACGAACCTTCATGTGCAGGTAGTCCTCGACTTACAGCCGTTCATTTAGTGACCGTCCTAAGTTAGAACGGCCCTGAAAAAAGTGACGTAGGACCGTTCGTCACACGATCATTGCAGCGTCCCCACCGTCACGGGATCAAAATTCGGGCACTTGGCAACTGACTCATATTTATGACGGTTGCAGTGACCCCCTTTTGCGACCTCCTGACCAGGAAAGTCAATGGGGAAGCCAGATTCGCTTAACAACTGGGTTGCTAATTGAATCACTGTAGTGATTTACTTAACAATCATGGCAAGAAAAGTCGTAAAATGGGGCAAAACTCACTGAACAAATTTCTCGCTTAGCAACAAAAATCCTGGGCTCAGTTGTGGTCACAGGTCGAGACTACCTGTATAGGGTTTCCTGCCTGAGCAGGGGGTTGGACTAGAACAGTGGTTCTTAACCTGGGCGATATTGCCCCCCAGGGGGCGATTTCATTTTTCAGGGGGGAGAATGAACGAAAATATGGCGATATGGGAGCGATGGAGCGAGAAGTTTTGGGGACACTTTTGAGACTTTTTCGTGCAGTGAATCGCTGTATATCTGTCGTACAAAAACATCAGATCGCTCGCTATTAGTGGATTGAATTGTGGTTTTAAATGTTCCTCCCGCTAGCTTCAGTACAGAACGCCGTACATATGTGAATACGCATCGCTTATCTTCATGCGCGTTGCGTAGCCCTCTACCCATACAGTGGCGCGCCATTAGCCAGAATATGGGAGATGTGGTTCAAATCTCACCGGCTCAAGGTTGACTCAGCCTTCCATCCTTCCGAGGTAGGTAAAATGAGGACCCAGATTGTTGGGGGCAATGTAAATATATACATACATTGCTTACTGGTGTACACCGCTTAGAGAGTGCTTGCACTTAAAGCGGTATATAAGTCTCATAAATAAATAAATAACTAAATATGGGGAAAAGACTGGAAATAAATTATTTGCATCGATATGTCCCGATGACAATTTTAAAGAAAACAAAAGAAGTGTTTGCATAAATTGAAGAATTATTTCCTATGTTATGATTGAGAGGTTATGTTGAGGGAGGGGGGCGATGACAACTTCCTCATTGGCTCAAGGGGTCGATTCGTTCAAAAAGGTTAAGAACCACTGGGCTAGAAGACCTCCAAGGTCCCTTCCAATTCTGTTATTCTGAAAACACACTCACCTCTTTTCCTTCCAGCAACTCTGAGCACTTTTCATTCTTGTTGCTCCCTCGGGAGACCCGTGGATGGACGCAGGAATACTCTCTACTTGACAGAATGGTCATGCGCACTCTTGAGTAGCGAGTCCGGTGCAGCTCCTTCACAATCTGAGCTATTTGCTTGTGAGTTCGGGTGCCGAAAAATATTTTGGGGATCGGCAACTTCCCTCCATTCTCCTTCTTGGCCTCAGAAGCATTTTTGGTGTTTTGCTCAAGATCGGAGCAAGAACACGTGGTGCAGGGATTGGGCGGTTGTAACTATGGGGGGGAAAAAATCCCATTAAAGATATTAATTTGGCAAAAACTGGATGGAAGGGGCAGTCACTGCAATCCTACTGGACCAGTGGTTCTCAACCTTTTTAATGCCGTGACCCCCAACCGGTCGTAAGTCGAGGACTACTCAACCGGTCGTAAGTCGAGGACTACTCAACTGGTGCAGCACCGTTTGCAGAATGGGACTTTTGGCGGGCTCAGCAGGGCAGAGACAGCCTGGACAATTCCTATTGGCTTTTGAAAGCCAATAGAATTAGACTCTATTCAAGAGAGTCTATTCTATTGGCTTTCAAAAGCCAATAGAATAAAAGGGAGTAGGAAAAGGGGGAAAAAATGGCGGACTGCATTGTTTGGCAACCCCCGTGAAATGGTCGTTCGACCCCAAATGGGGTCCCGACCCACAGGTTGAGAACCACTGTACTGGACCAATTGGGAGGTAAGCAGTTTGTTTATATGATTTATATTCCGCCGTTATTATTTTTATAAACCACTCAAGACAGCAAACATATCAAATGCTTCGTCTTCCTCTTCTTTTCCTCACAACAGCCCTGTGAGCTGAGTTGGGCTGAGAGAGGGACTGGCCCAAGGTGACCCCACTGGGATTCATGTCTAAGGAGGGACTATAACTCACACTCTCTTGTGACTGGCCCAAAGCCACCCAGCTGGCTTTCCTGCCTAAGGCAGGACTATAACTCACTGTCTCCTGGTGATTGGCCCAAGGTCACCCAGCTGGCTTTCATGTCTAAGGCGGGACTAGAACTCTCAGTTTCCTGGTGATTGGCCCAAAGTCACCCAATTGGCTTTCAAGCCTATGACGGGTCTAGAAACCTCAGTCTCCTGGTGATTGGCCCAAAGTCATCCAATTGGCTTTCAAGCCTATGACAGGTCTAGAAATCTCAGTCTCCTGGTGATTGGCCCAAAGTCACTCGGCCAGCTTTCATTTCTAAGGCAGGTCTAACACTCTCAGTCTCCTGGTGATTGGCAGAAGATGGATAGCCATCTGTCAGACCTGCTTTAATTTCGAGCTGTCGGGTTGATTTCCAGGTCTAAATGATTCCTTCCACCTCCGGGATTCTAGCGTTCACTCTGATCTGTGATCCTTACAAGGCCAATAGTAACAGCGACAATGACAGCAAGGCCACATCATCTTCCCAGCATAAAAAAAAATGTCACACTGACATGGAGAAGCAGACACATACAGTACTTCTGTCCAAATCCTTCCTCCCTCCATCCTCTTAATTGTAATCAGTAAGATTATCCTCCCCCACCCACCCACCCACCCCGGGTAAGCAAATGCTAAGTCACTGGGCGCGTTATGCTACAGTAGTCAGGATCAACTATCTCTTCGCCTGGGCTCTATGGAAAAGCGGGTTCCAATTACCCCTCGTCCCCACTCGAGCGTGTCTGGCGTTAAAAATGACAATGCAGGGTAGAACGGGCTGTCAATGCAACCCCTTCAGGAGCTGCCAGCCAGCGGGATAAAAGGCCAGTTGACGTGCCAAAGAAACGGGGCCGTCCGCGTGGATAAAGTTACCGGCCGCGCTGGAATTGTTACATTCCTCTCTCGGGTTGCCAGAAACGGCAGATTTCATTATGTCGTCCTGCGACATTAAACAGAGGCTTCCAAATAGCCGCTCTTCTCGATATTGAATAATTACTTATTCACCCCCAAGGATAAAAGGGAGACTTGATGAATGGGGCCCCTTGTCCGCCAGTGAGGAGAAAACAGCTGACACTGGGTGTCTGTTACATACCCCACTTTCTTGGCCTGGGCTCCGTAGTCGGACAGAAAACCTGGAACTCAAACTATGCCGCGTGATATTACAGTCGACACTTGTCGGGTTTTGTTTTGTGTTTTTTTTTCAGAAAAAAAGGAGGAAAGAGATCGCTAGGCGCACGCAGCCCTGAACACGAGCACACAAAACTAGGGTACAGCGCCTGCTGATGGAATGGTTGGTAGGGGTGTTTGACCCAACGGGGAACACCTGGTCAGGAACCCGTCTATGGGGCAGGAGGTTTCAGGAAATACAGGTAGTCCTCGACTTACAACGGTTCATTTAGTGACAGTTCAAAGTTGCAACGACACTGGGGAAAGTGACTTCACGGTGACGACCTTTGCAGCATCCCCATGGCAACTGCTTCGTATGTTGTGGTTCCGATAGATGAGACCAGTAAAAAGAACTCCCATGCTAAAAAAGCTTACTTAAAGAACATATTTATTTGGCTACATAATATCGGCACGGTCAAAAGTGAACCCAAGACTGAAAACCCCCACACACTAAGGTTACAAAGTTACAAGCGAAACTTCCCACCCCTGTTATAAATCACATTCCCCAATTAATTACTTGCACGGGCTTTCTAAAGATACAACCCGCCAAAATGCAGCTAGCAATGACCTTGGTTCCCACAGAACAATGTATTTTTATGGCTTAAGATAAAACTCTCATCTCCCTACTCCCAAGTCTGTCTATGGCAGTGGTGGTGAACCTATGGCACATGTGCCAGAGGCGGCACTCAGAGCCCTTTCTGTTGGCACATGCGCCGCCGCCACCAGCAGCAGGTCCATCAGGCCGCCCCTGCCACCCAGAGCCCTGCCCAGCGCAAAGAAGGTGAAGTGGCCAATTAGCAAGCTCGAGTAGAGGTGGTAGAGCAGAGGTCACCAACCATTGTCGATTGACGGACTGGAAGAAAAGAGAGAGGGAAGCATTTTACATGCGTGCGTGCATGCATGGGGCTGCGAGCATGCACGTGCTGCAAATGGGGCGGGGCTAGTGGCTGTGTGATACTCACCAGCCCTGCCCCGTTCTTGCATGGTGCAGTGCCTTGTACTTGCACCCTGCGGCGCGGCGGCGGCCGTGTTTGCGCCTTGCAGTACGATGGCCCATTTTTGCACCCCTGGTTTTTGCATGCCAAGAGGTGGCACTCAGAGGCACCTCCCTGCCCCTAGCACTTTGCGATAAATAAGTGGGTTTTGGGTTGCGGTTTGGGCACTCAGTCCCTGAAAGGTTCGCCATCACTGGTCTATGGCAACCGAAAACGAAGGGGAAAATGGTTTCAGCTAATTTCGTTGTAGAGTTGACATATTTATGATCGTTGCTGTGTCCCAAGGCCATCTGATCCCCTTTTACGAAGTTCTGACAAGCAAAGTCAAGGGGGAAAGCCAGATTCACTTAACAACCGGGTTACCAACTTTAGCAACCCCAGTGACTCACTTAACAACTGTGGCAAGAAAGGTCATACAATGGAGCAAAGCTCACTTAACAACAGAAATTTTGGCCTCCGTTGTGGTCATAGGTTGAGGACAACCTGTAACGGAGGAATAGGGAAGGGGGAAGGACATCAGCCTGGCAACCAAACATAGGTTTGTTTGTTTATTTGTGTCAGAAGCATCACAATTAAAATAAGGCATACTATGTGATGTAGCATTTAAAATGTAAAATGTAAGATTAAAGGATGTACAGGTTAAACAGATCCTGCCCAGAAACTAGCAACGTTAATTGTATTCTGTCGCGCTGTGATGAGGTTCTCAAGTGTACATTGATCGGGACACAAAAGGCAGGTATATATAGGTGTTATTGTCTGTGTGTCACCACGATCAAGGATGAAACTTTGGCAGCTATGTGCCTCTGCGTTTCAACTTGCCTTTAGATTGAGGGGGGGAGAGGTGTTACTTTCAATTGGGTAAGATGGAGAAACGAAACTTCTTTGATTCAGCTGCAGATGGTGGGAGCCCAAAGCCTTGTCAAGGACAGCAGAACAGGTGTGGATTTGAAGGAGACGGTTTCCATAAAAAAATGAGCTTGTTAATATGGATTACGTAAGACGTTGGGGGTTTGGCTGGGGAAATTATTGCTTAAGCTTATGAATTGGTGTTGGAACCTCAGAGTTAGTTTTGCTTTGGCATAACCAAGCAATGTATTCAATAAACAGTAAGATTTTTGGAAACGGAATGAACCTGGAGTTTTATTTGGATTCTCGGGCTGGCTTAAAATCACAGAATAACTCTAAACGGATCAACTGTCCAATTTACCAGATGGATCAATTATCTATCTCTGGCAATTTCCTAAGGAAGAAGCTACAGTTTTACCTGAAAAAGATTTCATGTGTGATTATTGATATTATCTCGGGAAGCTGGGAAAGATACATGCCCCAAAACAGAGGAAGCCTATGTTAATGTTGTGATTTTTTTTTTCCTCCTAAACAGAAGAGTGCTTTATTACAAGATCGTTAGGTACTTGCTTTCCAGGAAAGAGACCCTGAATAAGGGACAACCAAAAGTTTTTAAGAGAGGTTGAGAGCAAGATAGGAAGAAAAAAATTGACTCGTCTGAGCTGTGGTGATGGAGAAGGCTCCTTGGAAAGCAAAGGGGATGAACAAGCAAGTCCTGGAGCGCATAATATCAGATATTTTACTGGAAGGGGGAAAAAAAAAATCACACAACTGTGTCTCATTTATTTCGACCATGTCATGCAGGGAAATTCACCGAAGAAAGCAATTATGTTGGGAAGAGTTAGTGGAAAAAGGAAACGAGGCCACCAAAGAACAGGGTGGCTGGAAACCATCAAAGCTGATACCAGTCGAAGAACAGAACAACTCAAAGAAGCAGTGCAAGATTGGAAGACATAGGTCAGGGGTAGGCAACCTTGGCTCTTTTATGACTTGTGGACTTCAACTCCCAGAATTCCTGAGCCAGCATGGCTCAGCATGGAAACCTCTCCCTTTCTCTTCAGCATGGCTGGCTCAGGAATTCTGGGAGTTGAAGTCCACGAGTCATAAAAGAGCTAAGGTTGCCTACCCCTGACCTAGGGAGACCATCTGAACAGAACAGAATCGGACACAATTAAATGAATAACATCAATATCATCCTGGGAAGGGAGAATGAGAAGGAAAACTTACAGGCCACCCGTGCTATCCCCTCCACTCACAAACTCTGACCATCCCTATCCTGTCAGTGACCCACAGACAATCAATCAAACAAACAAAAA